ATTCCTTCCTTCCTTCCAGCATAGATGCATCTAGTTTTGTTCCCCTAGAGAACATCTGGTAAGTAACTTAGGCCAGTGTTTCTGGGTCCTTTTCATTCTGATGTTCTTCTGTGCCAGTTTTCCCACAGCACATTGTGAGCCAGAGGACCTGGTAGGGGTGGGTGGTGGCTGGAGATTGGGATGCAACAAGTATTTATGCCTGCTGGGGAGGTGAAGGGGTAGGTAAGTATCTGAAATTTTTCTGTTTGTATAATGAGCAAATGGAGGTCAACAAGTAATGAGAAGGGGAGAGTGAAAAAACTGAGTTATTAAAAGTTTTGGAAATGATTTTTAACCAGATGTGAAGGTAGTATTTGCCAACCCGTCTGACTGCAAGGAACAGATACCACTCAGGCTAGCATATGTGAAAGGGTTTTCTTGTAAGGACACAAGTGGACTGGAAAAGACCCGGAAACTCCATCTTTTTGACCCAGGGCACACGTTCTGCTCTCTCTGCATGTGCTGCTGCTTCTGTTCTTCATCTACCAGATAATTTTGGTTGCAGCACGGCTTGGCTTTGCCATTGCCCTTCCAGGCTGTCTTGACACCCCCCCCCCCCCAGAGCATTTTCATCCCACAAAAGAAACCCTGTACCCATGAGTAATCATTCCCTCCCTTTCTCCTTACCCCTAATCCCCATTCCTAGGCAACCACTAACCTACTTTCTGTGTCTATAGATTTGCCTATTGATTTCACATAAATAGAATCACACAATATGTAGCCTTTTGTGATTGGCTTCTTTCACTTAGCATAATGTTTTCAAGCTTCATCTATATTGTAGCATAACTCCTATTATCTCTTGCCACTGCCCTTTCATCTTGTCAGCTTAACTCGTGCTGTCCTGAGTTGCAGCTTTTCCTCTTACAGCTTCACCACTGACTGCCTGTTTCTGTTAACCCATTCTAGATTCTGTAGAGCAGTCCTGTGCAATAGAACTTTCTGTGATGTTAAAAATGTTCTTCTGGGAATTCCCGGCTGGTCCAGTGGTTAGGACTCTGGGCTTTCACTGCCTAGGGCCCGGGTTCAGTCCCTGGTCAGGGAACTAAGATCCCCACAAGCCATGCGGCTAGAAAAAAAAGAAAAAACAAACAAACTTGTGTCTCTGCTGTCCTATGCAGTAGACACTGGTCATATGTGGCTAGTGCAATCGAGAAATTGGATTTTTAAAATTAAATTTAAATAGTCACCTGTGGCTAGTGGCTATTGTCTTGCTCAGTGCAGCTATAGAGGATCTTGATTAGCCAGGCCTATCTTTCTGTTTTAAGCATAGGCCACAGTCTTAGGTTTCCAGCCAGCCAGTAAATCAGCTTGTTGGGTTAAGATCCACCTCCTGGTCTAGTCATCTGGGGCCAAGGAATGGGAAACAAGTGGGATAGAACATTAACTCTGCCCTCTGAGTTGGGCCTGGTGCTGGGAAGTTTTGAAAGGAGAAAGAGAAGAGAGGGTTTAAGAGTTTTGAATGGAAGTGTGCTTTGAAAATAAAGCTCTTTGTTTTCTCTCCCCTGTCTCTTCCAAATTGCTTGTTTCATTTTCCTATGGCATGTTCCATTGAGAATCAGGTAGACAAGGCAGCCTCTGGTCCTGATTTCTCATAGTTTGTCATTCTTAATGATTCGCTAGTTGCTGGGTCAGAAACATAAAAAGAAGTGGGTTGGTGTCATGCCTCTCCCCTAAAATACTTGCTGCCTTCTCGTCTCCCTCTTCCCTCACTGCTGCAGGCCATGCTTTTCCTCTCTCCCATCCTCCTCCCAGGTTAACACTTCACTGAAGTACTGGCAGTGCTTCCACAGAAGACAAGAGTTTCCACAGACTTGTTGTCCCTTAGGAATGACAGGGGCAGTATAGGCACTTCTCCAGGGGCTGCTGAATTCATTGGTTCTTGAGTGAACATAATAAATGTATGTAATTTATGATCACTGACTCTGAGGAGCTCTCCATCAATGGGGAGGTAAGTCACAAATTTGAGAATGTGTCCAGTGATACGTAGACTGAATGCCATACCCGGATGTTGTGGGATCCTTGGCATATCACACTGGGAGTCTTGTCCCCAGGTGACTCTTTTATGCAGTGGTTACTTTTAAGGACAACATGCATACTGGAAGTATGTGTGGAAGGTTCAGAATGGAAGAGCATTGTTGCTCATCTCTTCAGACACAACAGTTTATGAGAAAGTTTGTGACTGCTTATTACATATACATAGGTACACATGTGGTTGCTTTTCTCTTTTTTATCTCTAGCTGATATTGGCACTAACTGTGTCTTCATGTGCTCCAAAGAAATACCCCATGTTTTCCTTATTCACTGATATATACCACATCTAACACAGTGCTTGGCCTGTATAAATAAGAGCTCATTATTAATTGGAGGAAGAAATAAGTCAGTGCATAACTCCAGTTGCAAGATGTCCACCGCACCTTGAGCCTGGCCTGATTGTTTGCTGTGCTCTAGAAGTGCCTCTTAAACTGGTGAAGGACCATGTCCTGTCCCTCCCGCCACCCAACTTGTTAAATACAATATGATAATTTCATAGAAAAAATAATGGGGTGTAAGCTTGCATTTTGCGTATCTTTTTAATATTCGATTGAACGTATGTAAAATTATGCAGTGTGATTGCTGTAAAGTTTCTAATGGTTAAGTTTGAAGATTGCCCCTGGTCCTTGGGGGATTCTTCTGGCTCTTGAATTGGTATACAGGGCAGGAAAGGGTGATTCATGGAGTAGGTGGACATGAAGAAATGGAGAGGGATTTGGAGAGTAAAGAGAGAAAGGAAAGGCACCTGTCTGGAATGCTGAGTCTCCACTGAACTTTTGGGTAAATCACAATTCACATATATTGACTGTGTTTATGCTTTTGCACTAAACAGTGATATATTTAGTTTAGAAACAGCACACGAATACAGAAGGAAGGGACAAATTGAGCGCGGTTGCCTCCAGTGTAATAACAAACTAATAAACTCCTGCCTCTTTTCAGAAATAACTGTCTGCTTCCTTTATAGTCAAAACATTCTAAGCACCATTTATTTGGGTTCTATGTTAACCCTCCCTAGAATAGAAATGTGATTAAACTTAGTGACATTTTAATAAAATACTAAAACTGGTAATTAAAGTTGTTGGGAATGGGTTGTAGGGAGTGACTCCCATTTTTTCACTAGTCATAAGACTTTTTAAAAAAAATTCATGGTAGAATGATTTCTGTTAGAATGTTGGGATTAAGCTTCTAGAAGCAGCTATATTATATTTGTGCAACAACTTACCATACATGATTTTAAATTAATAAAGGAAAAGCAATAAAACAATGTATTCCAAAATACTTAAAAAGGAAAAAAGAGTAGGTTCATCTTGTGACAGTCAAACAATCATAGGAGATAATATCTGCTCTTTAATTTGTGAGCCCTCTTTGTGCACAGCATTCATTTTTATCAAGGTTAGTTGCTTAAATGGGGGAATTGTTGAGAACAAGAAGTTCTTCCCATCCCACATCTGAGTAATTACTTTGAATCAGGCACCATACCAGGTGTGGCTATAAGAATGAATAGGAAATAAAACAGTTTCTGCCTTCAAGGAGCTCTCAGTCTTGTTGGGAGAGGTAGACAGAGCCAGATGATGCTAAAATGTGTTAAATACTACAGTGAAGTTGGAAATTTAGTACTATTTGAGTCCTGATGAAATTGACTAGTTAACCTGAAAGAGTATGAGGAACCTTCACAGACGTAGCAGCAAGAGTTGATCTGTATGACATTTGTCTTAAAGCTTTTGATGTTTAGTTAGTGCTAGATTCAGCACAGGTGACATGAGAATAGCCCTGTATTCAGTTACAAGAGAACTGGGAATTTAACAGAGGTTGAACTACTGGATTCAGCATTCTCAAGGATCTTCAAATACTATTCAAAGGATAGCAGCGGTGAAAAAACTATTGTTTTTCCTTTAAAGAAAAGTCGCATTTTATTTGGGATTGAATATTAGAACATGGCACATTGGAACATGATGATATGATGTCTGGATTTAGCAAACACTAACAAAAGTTAAACATGCTATTTGGAATTTAAGTTGTTATTGGTTTGGATACATGCTAAGAATAAGATCATGAAAGGTGGTAGGAGAAGGACTTTGATTCATTTTAAGTGGAAACATTTACAGTGCAGGAGTTCCCCATGGTTCTTGGCAGTGGCAGGGGTAGGAATGAAGATATTTAAGTAGGAGTGTTACAGGTTTGATGTGATGGGATTGGAGGAATTTGTGGACATTATAATGGTTACAGTTGGTAAGGGAATTAACTGGTAAAATCTTGGAGAAATAGCAGTAAATTGGATAACTTAGACACAAAAAACCCTAGAATGATGACATCATTGTTTTTGTTTATATAACAGTCATTTGTGAAAGTTTAAGAGGCAAAGCTTTGTTTTGATTTGGGGGCTCACTCAAGAACATCAGGATTATGCATGAGACAGCAACAGCCAAAGGCTAACATTCTAGTCAGTTCTTAGCTTAGGCCTTGGAAATCATGTGCTTCTGCTCTAACATCTACTGAAAGAAAGCTTTTCACCCATCATCATGTAGATTGAGAATCCTGAATCTTATCCATAAGCAGTAGTTCTTTGTGATTTTATGGACATTTTAAAAAGTTTTATTAGCTATGCTTAAAAATGATTAAAATTTGCTTTAGGAACTTTACTTCTTAAGTTCTTCTGAGACTTCTCTAGCTAGACAAGGAATGACTGACAATTCCTTAGTTAAAGCCCAGGGTGTCCTAATCAGAATGGTGACTTTAGTTTGGGAATCTAATGGAAGGGGTGGCGTAGTGAGGGAGGACCGGGGAACTCTGGTAAATTGAATGGAAGTAGTGAAAGGAAGTAGAATGTTTCCCCTACTTTATCAGGAAGTTAGTTGAGACCTTTAAGGAAAAGAAGATTCTCTAGGAAGCAACATGAATACATAATAGAAGTTTTATTTTATTTTATGCAGCTCAAAGAAAATGAACGGCACCCTGGACCACCCAGACCAACCGGATCTTGATGCTATCAAGATGTTTGTGGGCCAGGTTCCAAGGACCTGGTCAGAGAAGGACTTGAGGGAACTGTTTGAACAGTATGGTGCTGTCTACGAAATCAACGTCCTAAGGGATAGGAGCCAAAACCCTCCTCAGAGCAAAGGTAAAGGGCTTTGACTTTTATATGTATTTTCAGTCATGTGCATGCTCTCTCTCATTGCCAGAATGCTCTTGTGGTCATATAGGGGGGGAAAAAACCCTGTCATTTTGTTGTAGCTATATCTCCGAGTCCAAACACGTTTAATGGCTTAAAAGTAAAAACTTAAGGTGACATCATGAGGATAATTTGTAAATTGGATCTTGGGCAGTCCTTTTTGAGATCTATAAATTCAGGAGACAGACTCATGTGAGTGTCTCATTTGATCTTGAGAGTGGAATGACAAAAATAAAGTTGAAGTAAACCAACCACATAGGTTTTCTTCATTCAGTATTTTAGCTATAGAGTAAGTGGAAAGAGAAAGACTGTCCAGGTACCCGCTGGTTTCTGTTAGTGTTACAGAGGCCTCTGGAATGGCTTAGCAACTAGGAGCAACTTGTTTGTAGGTGACCTGTTATAGCCTACAAAATGAACAGGAGGGCTTCCCTGGTGGCGCAGTGGTTGAGACTCCACCTGCCAATGCAGGGGACACGGGTTCGTGCCCCGGTCCCGGAAGATCCCACATGCCGCGGAGCGGCTGGGCCTGTGAGCCATGGCCGCTGAGCCTGCGCATCCGGAGCCTGTGCCCTGCAATGGGAGAGGCCTCAATAGTGAGAGGCCCACGTACCGCAAATAAATGAATGAATGAATGAATAAATAAATAAATAAATAAACAAACAAACGAACAGGAGAAGAAAGGCAAGCTGCTTCCAGAAATACCCAGCAGAGTGGAAGTTTTATAGGCCTGATAGTAGATAAGCTGTTAGCTTTGCCCCATACCACATAGACATACACTTGTTTTCCCAAATGACCTATTTCAGAGTAATTTTCTGTGAAAGCTGTTCTATGGTGCAGATGTACGCAAGCATGATTTTATGTTTGAAACCAGCTTAATAGCAGAGGACCTAGAAGCTGAAGAATTATTTTCTCTTTGTGGCATAGTTAACCAAAAATGTAAAGTATTATAGTTTCTGAAAATGACTGTCAATATAATATGCAGTAATTTAAAATCTTAATTGCAGGGTGATTTTTTTTTTTTTTTTTTTTTTTTTTTGCTGTGGTCTCTCCCGCTGCGGACCCCAGGCTCCGGACGTGCAGGCCCAGCGGCCACGGCTCACGGGCCCAGCCACTCCGCAGCATGTGGGATCTTCCCAGACTGGGGCACGAACCCATGTCCCCTCCATCGGCAGGCGGACTCTCAACCACTGTGCCACCAGGGAAGCCCCTGCAGGGTGATTTTGAAAGAAATCTATACTATATCTTATGGGACTATGGACTATGGACAAGACATACTTGCCCCCTCCGATCCCCAGTAAAGATACATAGCACAAAATCTCCACATCTCCTCAGTGAAGTGCCATGTGCTATTAGACATGTGATTATATTTGATGAAAACCAAGAGTCCAAAAAAAGATATTGAGGTCCTTGCTCTTAAGTCATTTTATAATTTAATAAATGATAATTATGTTTGAGGCGTATGGTAGAAATTGGCTACAGTGTAAGGCTTGTTCTGAGAAAGATTTGTAGACTACAGGCTGCAGGAGTGCAAGGCCTCTGTCTGTCTGGTTTGTAGCTCAGTCTTCTTGCCCAGCACACCACCTGGTGCTGCAAGAAGGGCAGGTTGAATGGCATGGTGCTGTGACCTTTGTAAGAAAAGTCATCTTTCCCAAAGAAGTTATAAGAGCAGTTAAAGAAGAATTTTAATAAAACCAGGAGACTATAGTAATGAAGAAAATGATAGAAAATCTTTTTCCCCCCTTGCTAGGTTTTCTCCATCTCCCTCCCTCCACCCCCACCCCACCCCCAATTTTAATAAACCCAGCCCTATCTTTTAATTTTCAATATATACCTGGAGGAGGGAGTGCTGTAGGAATTATGTGCTTTCAAAGGACTGGTTTGATTTCCTGAAGTGTTGTTTATTGCAGGGTGCTGTTTTGTTACATTTTACACCCGAAAAGCTGCATTAGAAGCTCAGAATGCTCTTCACAACATGAAGGTCCTCCCAGGGGTAAGAAAGCTCCTACTAGTAAGTGGAACTATGGTGGTTTTGACATATGGGACATACTTATACATTTCAGGCACACACTGAAAACCATTTGGGGAAAAGGGTGACTGCCACAGGAATTGATGTAAAGGAGGACATAAAGGGAATGTTTCAAAGAAGATAGGCTGAAAGTCATTCTCTTTCAACCAAGAGAATTTTGACTTGTTGACTCACATTCTATTTTGATATTTTGTGGAGGGGAGATAATGAGGCAGGCGAGAGTTCAGAGACAACTCTTAAGGTCAGTTTGGTATTTCCTGTAGAGTCTTCGTTTATGTTTCTGAATTCCTTTGGTGTGTTAAATAGTAATATTCATGTGTTTTCCTTTTTAGATGCATCATCCTATACAGATGAAACCTGCCGACAGTGAGAAGAACAATGGTAAGCAAGTATATAAAGCCCTCCCCTTATAAGGTTTCTTCTTGTGTATTTGCTGTTCTCATGGCATTTGGATTTTACTGTGCTGTAATTAATCTTTTGAGATATAATTGACATGGTAGTTTCAGTTGTACAAAATAATGGTTCAATATTTGTATATATTGCAAAACGACACTACAATAAGTCTAGTTAACATCTGTCACCATAAATAGTTAGAAAAAATTTTTTTTCTTGTGATGAGAACTTTTAAGATCTACTTTCTTAGCAACTTTTAAACATGCAGTACAGGGCTTCCCTGGTGGCGCAGTGGTTAAGAATCCGCCTGCTAATACAGGGGACACGGGTTCGAGCCCTGGTCCAGGAAGATCCCACATGCCACAGCACAGTTAAGCCCGTGTGCCACAGCTACTGAGCCTGTGCTCTAGAGCCCTTGAGCCACAACTACTAAAGCCCACGTACCTGGAGCCTGTGCTCCTCAACAAGAGAAGCCACCACAATGAGAAGCCCGCGCACCGCAATGAAGAGTAGCCCCCGCTGGCCGCAACTAGAGAAAGCCCACGCGCAGCATCGAAGACCCAACACAGCCAAAAATAAATGAATAAATAGAGGGTTTTTTTATTATTATTATTATTTTTGTGGTACGCGGGCCTCTCACTGTTGTGGCCTCTCCCATTGCGGAGCATAGGCTCCGGACGCACAGGCTCAGTGGCCATGGCTCACGGGCCCAGCCGCTCCGCGGCATGTGGGATCTTCCTGGACCGGGGCACAAACCCGTGTTCCCCGCATCGGCAGGCGGACTCTCAACCACTGCGCCACCAGGGAAGCCCTAAATAAGTTTATTTTTTTTAAAAAAAAAACAACATGCAATACAGTTTTAACTGTAGTCACCATACTGTACCTTATGTCCCCATGACTTAACTTATTTTAAAACTGGAATTTGTGCCTTTTGACCCCCTTTACCCTTTTTGCCTACCTTCTTTCCCTTGCCTCTGACAAGCACCAGTCTTTTCTATCTCGGAGTTCAGTTGTTTGTTTGTTTGTTTAAAAGAGTCCATATTTAAGTGAGAGCAATACAGTATTTATCTTTCTCTGTCTGACTTAATTCACTTAGCATAATGCCTTCAAGGTCCATCCATGTTGTCACATATGGCCAGATTTCATTCTTTTTTTATGGCTGAATAATATTCATGTGTGTGTAAAATACCACATTTTCTTTATCCATTCATCTGTTGATGGATACTTAGGTTGCTTCTATATCTTTGCTGTTGTAAATAATGCTGCAGTAAACATGGGGGTGCATAGGTCTTTTCAAGTAAGTGTTTTCGTGTTCATCAGATAAATATCCAGGAGTGGACTTGCTGGGTCATATGGTAGTACTAATTTTAATGTTTTGAAGAACTTCTATACTGTTTTGCACAGTGGCTGCACCATATAGTCCCACCGACAGTGCCCAAGGCTTACCTCTTCTGCACATCCTGACCAACACTTGTTCTTTCTTGTCTTTTTGATAATAACCATTCTCACAGGTGAGATGATATCTCGTGGTTTTGATTTGCATTTCCCTTCAATGCAGATGATTAGTGCATTGATTAGTGATATTGAGCATCTTTTATGTCCCTGTTGGTTATCTGTATGTCTTCTTTGGAAAAATGTCTTTTTAGATCCACTGCCCTTTTTTGTGTGTGTGTGGTACACGGGCCTCTCACTGTTGTGACCTCTCCCGTTGCGGAGCACAGGCTCCAGACGCGCCGGCTTAGCGGCCATGGCTCACGGGCCCAGCCACTCCGCGGCATGTGGGATCTTCCCGGACCGGGGCACGACCCCACATCCCCTGCATCGGCAGGCAGACTCTCAACCACTGCGCCACCAGGGAAGCCCCCACTGCCCATTTTTTAATCAAGTTGTTTTTCTTTCACTGTTGAGTTCTGCAAGTTCTTTATACATTTTAGATATTAACTCCTTATCGGACACATGATTTGCAAATACTTTCTCCTATTCAGTAGGTTGCCTTTTTTTGTTGTTGACGATTTTTTGGGGGTTTTTTGCTGTGCAGAAGGTTTTTAGTTTGATATAGCCCCAGTTGTTTATTTTTTGCTTTTGTTGACTTTGCTTTTGGTGTCAAATCCAAAAAAATCATCGCCAAGACCCATGAAAAGGAGCTTACCAAGCCTTATGGTTTCAGGTCTTACATTCAGTTAATCCATTACTTACTCAGAATTAATGCATTTTGAGTTAATTTTTGTTTATGGTGCAAGGTAGTGAATCAGTGCTGTAAATAATCTGTCCCCTAAATTGTACTTTTCTTTAAAATAAGTATGGCAAATAAGTCAGAGTTGACAGGGAAATATTACAAGAACATTTTAGAGTGAACTGGAATGCCTTTGATCAATGTAATTTCTTTTGAACTGGAGTGAAATGGGGAACTGAACAAATTAGGAAGGAAAACTTAGTCCTCAAGAGAATAAGCAGAGGGCCTCCCTGGTGGCGCAGTGGTTGAGAGTCCGCCTGCCGATGCAGGGGACACGGGTTCGTGCCCCGGTCCGGGAGGATCCCACATGCCGCGGAGCGGCTGGGCCCGTGAGCCATGGGCGCTGAGCTTGCGCGTCCGGCAACGGCAGAGGCCACGACAGTGAGAGGCCCACATATCGCAAAAAAAAAAAAAAAAAAAAAAAGAGAGAATAAGCAGAAAATGAAAGTGGACAGTTACATTCACTGAGATGTGTGTTCTGTTTCTCTTGTCATATCAATTAAGTATGAAACCTCGTCCTTCTTTGGTACAATAGTATTGCTAAAGAGAGCAAACTTTGCTAAGTGCTAGGCAAGATGCTGAGTACTTGGCATTTAATACGTACAGCTACCTTTGAGGTAAACTCAGTTATCTCTATTAATCACATGAGGAAACAGGTACAGAATGGTTAAGTAACTTTCACAAGATCATGAAGCTACTATATTTTGTCTAAATGGTTCCGATTATAATTTTAAGATACCATTGATAGTAAGAGTAGGTGCTAAATTATGGGGGAAAAAATGTGTATCTTAAAATCGGTGAAATCTGGTATAAAGGCCCAGAGCTCTGTGCTGCACTACCTCTTATAGTAGTAATGTTCAAGCCTTTTGTTTTTTACTGTCTTAGCAGTGGAAGACAGGAAGCTGTTTATCGGTATGATATCCAAGAAGTGCACTGAAAATGACATCCGAGTCATGTTCTCTTCATTCGGACAGATTGAAGAATGCCGGATATTGAGGGGACCTGATGGCCTGAGCCGAGGTGGGTACATTTTCAGCCTTTAAAAGTACTCATCTTAAATTTGGAGTCTCTTTTTAATTGGATCAGTGGAAACCAGTGATCTCTAGCCAACATGGCACTGTCATGATGGAGAGGGTTGGGTTTGGTGTTGTATATTTAGGTGCCGTCACAACAACTATCAGTTGATCCCAGTTCCCTCAAGGAGTCTACATTCTGCACTTAAGTGTCATGTATTAAAATTCTCTGCTTCAGTCCTTGGATAGGTTCTCCATGCCAAAATGGAAACACTTCTTTCACAAGAGAAGCTAGAGAATATGATTCCTCCTTTATCCCTCAAGCACTTTTTCCCCTGTGCGCATCCCTGGTTTCTCATTAAAGCACGTATCACTCTGTCATAACATATCTGTATTCTCCACTGGATCATGAACCCCTGAAGGCAGGAACCATGTCTGTATTGCTAGCATGGTACTTGGGCACACAGTAGGTGCTCAGTAAGTGTAAGTCAGATAAATAATTAAAGAAATGAATGGATGAGTTATTGATTCTTCTCTTACCAGGTTGTGCGTTTGTGACCTTCACAACAAGAGCCATGGCACAGACAGCTATCAAGGCAATGCACCAAGCACAGACCATGGAGGTAGGGGCAAATGAATGAAAGGGGGAAGTTCCTTGGACTGAGAGTGGTAGGACAATTGACAATCGAAGCCCAGTAGCACGTATAGCATTTGATTGCCCTAAAAGTTAAGAAGGCCAGACATCTTTAAATTAAAAACTGGTGCTTTCTTTAAAATTAGCATATTGGAACTAAACTGAATTATGTCTTGCCACTTGTGTCTATCAGGAAGAGAATCATTTGACAGTGAATGAAATTAGAATGCAGCCTGTGCCTCACTAGAAAGGAGGATTTTTCTCTTCGCCCAGAATGAGGATTTTGACCCTTTGATTTTGGTGTTTTCATAGGGCTGCTCTTCCCCCATGGTGGTAAAATTTGCTGATACACAGAAGGACAAAGAGCAGAAGAGAATGGCCCAGCAGCTCCAGCAGCAGATGCAGCAGATCAGCGCAGCATCTGTGTGGGGAAACCTTGCTGGTCTAAATACTCTTGGACCCCAGTATTTAGCAGTGAGTCTTTGTGGTTTGCTTTCTGCAGGCTGTGCAAGCTCCCAGCTGTTTCTTCTTCTTCTGTCCCTAGCTAACATACATAATGGCAGTCACAACTTTTAGCATATCAAAATTTTACATAAAAATTCAGGCAATGAAATGTTCTTTGTCACGTTAGTCTTGTGTGCACGCACACTCTCTCTCTCTCATCGCACATCTTTGGTTATGTCTTGAGCTTCTGCTCAAATTACAGTGAAATCCTAATTTTCTAATAAAAAAATTTAGGAACATCTCATATGTCCCTGCCCCCAAGACAAAAAATTCCTGAGGAAATCTTAGCTACCAAATATTCTTTCTCCATATCGCTTTCTAGTAGATTGTAGAGGGCGTCCTTAAAATCCTTATTGAGTCTTCCCTGTAGAGTATGATTGTAAATGTTTCTGCTGACTGAGAGATCAAGAGATTAACATGGACATTATTAAATGAGTATTACAGGTGTATATTTGAGTTCACTAAATAGTAAATAGATTTCCTTTGATTTCTCTCTTGTTGAGTCATGGAATTCAGAAGACGGGCAGGCTCCGATTGGTTAGATTTATTAGATCTGCAATGTATATTATGGGGGATTATCACTGCTTTAACCCTTAAAAGAATTGCAGATAGCACAAGACACTTAAAACTGTCTCATCTTTGAATCACAAAGAACAAGTCATCTGTGAAGTTACCAAGGAAGGAAAATAAATGGTGAAACTACTAGATTAGTATGGATAGTTAGAAATATACACATAGAAATATAGTCATTCACTCCTCATCCTTTAAAATATTATTTTATATGGAAACAGAAGAAAGGCAATGTTTTCTATCCCCCAGTACTAGGTTTTGGCTAATTTGATGCCCTCTGGTTTCCATCTTTTTAAAATGTTAGAAGAAATCCCAGTTTACCCACACTAGTAATTCTCCAAAAAGTATAGATGGTTGTTATATTCCTACAAATTAAATTGTTTCTCGGTGCTGGAACATTGCTTGTAAGTTGAGAAAATTCAGAGAGATTTTAGGTCTTCTGCTAAAATGATAATGCCTTGAAAATTATCTCCATGGTGTGCATTTGCTTTTGGAGAGTTTTGGAGCCTTCTTTTAGGGAAGACTCCCCATTTTGTTGTCATTGCCACATCTAGCAAGCACATGATGGTGTATGTTGAGAGCTGTGGTCTCTTCGTTTCAATTAGACATGATCCCCGCCCTAAGAGCTCTTTTCATTTAGGGAGGAAGTGAAGTGCCAAGTACAATATGCACAGTCCACCAGTTGGGACTGAACTCATTGCTCAAGGTATTTAAGAAGACAGAAATGAAGACATGTGAGTGCTGATGGACTGTGAAAGTGATAGTACATCATTAATTATGAGGTACTGGAATATGTGGACTTAGAACTAGAGCAAGTAGTTCTTAATCTTTGAGGTAGCAGACCCCTTTCAGAAGCTGGTAAATATTCTGTGTATGGACACTTTTTCATTCTGCCTCTGGAGGTTTGTGGACTTGCTGAAACACTTGTGGAATAGAGAGATTCCTGATGACAGAGGAACCAGGTCAGATGTTTATGGGAATGAATAACAGATTGAATAAAGAATCCAGAAACGAGAATACCATCTGTTCATAAGGAACAGTGATTGCATTTGAATGGAACAAAAGGTTTCAGCAGGTTGGTTAGATGAGGGTTGCAGTTTGCTAAGGTACAGAGTAAGGTCATGGAGGTCATAAGCTCATGGACAGGTCCTCTTGTTTTATTTGTTATGGAACAACCATTGAAAGAGAATGTACGCTGAATGGATATGGACTGATCCAGCAATCACTTGGTCATCTGCAACAGTGAGATGAATGGGGCTAGATGAATGTGTAGCATTCTAGTTATGACAAGATTGATCTAGTCACAGGTTCATTGTGGCCGGTAAAGGATGACTCCAAGAAATACTCTGAAATGGTCAGGTTTGGTATTTTAAATAGTTGTGTGAAGCAGAAATTAGGTCTCCAGGTGGGAATAAGTTACAAAATAAGATGTGTGGACCTAACAAAGGAGAATTTGGGAGAGGAACTAGAAATGGCAGTCACTAATATGCAGACACTCCTCTAAGTGGACTGCATGGCTGCTTGAGTTGAGTTTAGTTCTCTCCTCTACCTCTGTCCTCTGCTGTGCTGCATTCTGTTGCCAGGGACTCGAGCTTGGCTTTGTACTCAACAAACACAACTGTCTTCTGGGCCAGGGCTTTAGCTGTGTTGTGTTGTCCTGTGCTGTCATAAGCCTTATGTTTTTGTTGTGTTGGCTTGGGTTCTTGTCTTCAACTTTCTTCTCTGGGGGCCTCTGCACTCTCGCTTTGCTGTGCTGTAGAGTTACCCCAGATGCAGAACCAGCCCTCACTCTCACTCTTGTTCTGTTTTTGGTGTAATGTCTAGCTTTATTTGCAGCTCCTTCAGCAGACTGCCTCCTCTGGGAACCTCAACACCCTGAGCAGCCTCCACCCAATGGGAGGTAAGTGTTTCTCTGCTGCGGAGGAGCAGCAGCAGCCAAGCCAGCAGACCCGGCTGACAACAGTCTGAGGGTTTTCTGCCGTTTGTGCAGAAAAAAATTTTTTTCCCACTCGTTACATAAACCTGACATAAGATGAACATCCTAGGATTCAACTACCTTGTCTGTAGAAGGTGGCTCTTTTAGCTGTTGATATCATATTGCTCTGCAGTTGTCTGCTGCTCCCTACCCCCTTAAGTCTCTATTAAGGAGGAAGATGGAAAAGAGCTGTTAGCATCTGCAGACTATCTGCAGCTACTTTGATAAGGAGAAAATTGCAGGAATTCTTTATTTCCACAAAAGTGACTTTTTCAGTGACTCTGAGGAAAAGTCTAAGATGGCTTCTATGTGCATGGCTTTCCGTGAAGCTGCTAGAACCCAGGCAGTGTCTTACACATGTTATTTCTTAGGTGAATTACCTTTTTTGGTGTTAACATGCACAGAAAACTTAATTGGCAAATACCTGAGTTTATAACAAAAGGAGGCTCCACAGACAAACCTGAGGCAGGGGCTGTCAGGAAAGTTAAGGAGGCAGGGAGGGGACTGTTCCAGAGCTGCCTGCCTCTGCCCTGCTGCAGTGAGATAGGGCTAGGCAGGTGCATCTGAGGAAGGGATGATCTTAGGAAAACTGCAGTGTTCATTTTTGTCCCAGGGACTTAAAGTTTGCTGTGTTTTCAAAAAGTTGCTAGATTGTAAATCTGTGTTGTAGCCTTTTTATTCTCATTAATTCTCCACCCTCACCCATCTGCCTTTCCATTATCTAGTAAAAAGTTTGCCACACATTGTCAGTGCAGTTCAGATTTCTTGCTCTGCTTATACCTGTGTTGCCTAGGTTCTTCTACTTGGAAGTCTTTTCCTCAGTGTTTTTTCTCTCTTCTTTTTCTGACAGTTAATCTACTATTCAGGTGGTGGTTTTTTTCTTTGTTCTCTCTAATATTGCTGTTTTCACGTGTATCCCCCTGTCATCTCCTCCATTGCCTTCTGGATCTCTACTACATTTTCTGCGTTTTCACCTCCATTGCAGAGAACAGATCCCCTGTAAAGTGTGAGTGAGGGGCTCAGATGCAGACTCGTTCTCTTCCACAGGGTTTGGCATTGCTCTCTTAGATACCGGGCTCCATGGTAGAACACAGAATCCACCCCTCTTTTCTGGTTTCCTAATTGCCCATCCATTTGGGCTGGCATGCTATTGGATTAGACATCTATTATCTGAGGAAATGTTCAGTTTCTGAATGAGTTGAGTGAGATCTGAATCTTTTTGGAGCTCTGTAGTATTGCCTGTATCTAGAACAGTTCCTCTTTGGGACCAGCCTTCTGCCAGTGTGCACAGTCATTGCTGGAGTGGATATGAGGCACCGTTATCTGTTGGCTGATCTCTTGCTTTGGCTGTTGCAGGGTTAAATGCAATGCAGTTACAGAATTTGGCTGCACTAGCTGCTGCAGCTAGTGCAGCTCAGAACACACCAAGTGGTACCAATGCTCTCACTACATCCAGCAGTCCCCTCAGCGTACTCACCAGTTCAGGTAAGCATGTATAATAGAGGCCACTGTGCCCTTGTGTGCCTTGGACAGAATCCCAAGAGAGGAGTATGTCATTCTGGAGAGTCTTTGACACCCATTTCCAAAGGGGTCAGATCATGGACAGTAAATTTTCAAATGTCATTTTTTTTTAAATTAATTTATTTATTTTTGGCTGTGTTGGGTCTTTGTTGCTGCACTCCATCTTTCTCTAGTTGCAGTGAGCGGGGGCTACTCTTCATTGCGGGACACAGGCCTCTCATTAAGGTGGCTTCTCTTGTTGTGGAGCACGGGCTCTAGGTGCACAGGCTTCAGTAGTTGTGGCACGTGGGCTCAGTAGTTGTGGCTCGTGGGCTTTAGAGCACAGGCTCAGTAGTTGTGGCACACGGGCTTAGTTGCTCCACGGCACGTGGGATCTTCCCGGACCGGGGCTCAAACCCATGTCCCCTGAATTGGCAGGCGGATTCTTAACCGCTGCGCCACTAGGGAAGCCCTCAAATGTCATCTTCTGACTTAAGAGAAATCTCGTAGTTTTTAGTTTGTTGTAATCATCACTTGCTTCTATGTCCTGCAGGGACAGGTATCAAAATCAGTAGCTGGTGGCGGGGGGGAAATCAGTAACTGAAAAACCTCTTTATAAAGAGAATACTTGAGTAACATAACTTGTGCTTTGGTTCCTGTTGACCTGAGAAGGTAAGTGTTGGTCTGAGTTTAACTCATGGATGTCTGACAGCAGGGTCCTCACCCAGCTCCAGCAGCAGCAGCTCTGTCAATCCCATCGCCTCCCTTGGAGCCCTACAGACACTAGCTGGAGCAACAGCAGGCCTCAACGTCAGCTCTTTGGCAGGTGAGGGCCAGTCCCTGAATGTCATCGAGCCATTCTTTGTGCAGATAACACATTTTAAACAACTCTGGTAGGGGTGCCGTTAGAATGAATGATTAGGGTGGCCCAGTGAAGTTAGAAATGATCATGGGAGTTTGAGTCAGACCTGAGTTAAATCTCATCTCTGCCCCTTAACTACCTGTAACTTAAGACCACCTTTCTAAGATCATTTTCTCATCTATGAAGTGGGAGTAGAATACTTTGAGGGTTATTAAGTTAAATGAGAACATAGGTAAAGTGCTGAGCACATTACTTAGTACAGTGTCTGGCAACTAGTACATGCTCAGTAAATGTTAGCAGCTATTTTGATGATAGGATTTGCCCACATCTTGTCATAGACTGTATGTATCCCTTTTAGTCCCCAGTCCTGGGACTCTTATTTTACCACATTCCAGCTCTTTGTGAGAAAATGGCAGCAAAGCCAAAGAAAAAAATGGGGCAAGTTGTATAAGTGGTATCACTTCTCGCACAGGTTGGAAGAAGATAATGGGGAGAGCCGCACCTGGGTGTGGCATTTTTAAATGTCCCCATTAGCCACAAGGCCTGGTGAGTGTCCTAAAATTTGACCAGTCAGAGGAATATTCCTCCTCAGGGAGAAGCTAAGGAGATGAAAGGGCGTACTTTGGAGTTTGTCTTTGGCATCGCTTGAGTCTTTCCAATCTGTTAATCCTGCTCTTCCCCCCACCCTCACCCCCAACCAAGGGATGGCTGCTTTAAATGGTGGGCTGGGCAGCAGTGGCCTTTCTAATGGCACTGGGAGCACCATGGAGGCCCTCACGCAGGCCTACTCGGGGATCCAGCAGTATGCTGCAGCGGCGCTCCCCACTCTGTACAACCAGAACTTGTTGACACAGCAGAGTATTGGTGCTGCTGGAAGCCAGAAGGAAGGTGAGTGCCAAGGGAAACTGGAGTGAGGGACAGGGGTGGGTGCTTCATCTGACCAGCACTGAAAAGCAGGGCAAAGCCCCGGAGAGCCATGTAGGTGGTCAGGCCAACACTTCTCTTTTTTTTTTTTTTTTTTTTTTAAACACTTCTCTTTGGCTGTGTCAAGGGTAGACTGAGAAACTGTGATCTGCTTTCTGGATGTGGCTCAGGTCAGAACCTCTGTATTCTCTCCTGAGATGGGCTGCAGTTTTTAGATGAAGAAACATATTGGCTTTATTGTGTCTGACACCATTTGGCAGTCTGCAGTCTGTTTTTTGTTTGTTTTTTACTGGGATATAGTTGCTTTATAATGTGCTAGCTCCTGCTGCACAGCAAAGTGAACCAGCCATAAGTAAACACATATCCCCTCCCTTGTGGATTTCCCTCCCATCCAGGTCACCACAGAGCACCAAGTAGAGTTCCCCGTGCTGTACAGCAGGTCCTCACTAGTTATCTTGTTTCATACCAAGCGGCATACATATGTCAATCCGAATCTCCCATTTTATGCCACACCCCCGCCCCACCCCCGACCGTGTCCTCACATTTGTTCTCTACATTTTGTCTCTATTTCTGTGTTGCAAATAGGTTCATCTGTACCATTTTTCTAGATTCCACATGTATGTGTTGATATACGATATTTGTTTTTCTCTTTCCGGCTTACTTCACTAAAATATGGAACACGTCACGAAACTTCACGAATTTGCGTCCCATCCTTGCCCAGGAGCCATGCTAATCTTCTCTTTATCATTCCAGTTTTAGTATATGTATTGCCGAAGCGAGCACTGGCAGTCTGTTTTTGTTAGGAAGTCTTCTCTGTGGATTTTAAATCTGTCAGAGGATATCTTCTGTCTGGGTGTCCCTTCTAGCTCTGTCATTTGGCATTTTCCTCACTTTCTGATCTATGCTTTTCCTAATTGAGGACAAACTGAAGGGTGATGAGACAGGAAGAGTTATGGCCCAGGGGTTGATGGAGTGGAAAGTATGTGCTTTGACATAAATGGTATTAATTCAGGAGAGGCTTTTTAAGCAGAAAGAGGCCTGAAAGTGGTTTGTATGAATAGAAGGTGCTGCCAGCATCTCTGTGCTCATATATGACTGGGTTTTCTTAACCAGGAGCTGGCAAGAGTTAAGCACTAATTTAGGAAAAAGACAAGTATCCTCTCTTGCTTTAGCAGCAAGGAGCCTTGGTGCAGTGCATCCTTACCGGCTCTGAATTGGACATTTATGTGCCCTAGGATGTGGTAGTGGGGGAACTGATGGAACTCTGGAGATAGACAGTAAACAGAAGCATGAGGTGTTCCAAATGGTGCTCTGAAGAATGATGAGCAGGAAGGAGGAATAGAGAGTGCCAGAAAGATAGCATTTTATAGAGAGAAGGAGGTCTCTCTAAGTTGATGTTTAAGTAAAGACCTGAAGAAAGGAAGGAAGGAAGGAAGCCATGCATATATCTAGAGGAAGAAGAGTAATGGGGCAGAGGAACAGCAAGTGTAGAGACCCTGAGGCAGCAGTGTTCTGTATGTGTTTGACCACAGCAGGGAGGCCAGGGTGGCTGGAGACTGGCTGGACTGCGATTGTAATAAAACTCATTTTTGAAGATGTGCTACATATATACGATGGGATATTACTCAGCCATAAAAAATGAAATAATGCCATTTGTAGCAACATGGATGGACCTAGAGATTATCATACTAAGTGAAGTAAGTGAGGCAGAGAAAGACAAGTATCATATGATAACACTTTTATGTGGAATCTAAAAACATGGTACAAATGAACTTATTTGCAAAACAGAAAGAGTCATAGATGTAGAAAACAAACTTTATGGTTACCGGGGAAAAGGGGGTGGGGAGGGATAATTTGGGAGATTGTGATTGACATATACATACTATATATAAAATTGATAACTAATAAGGACCTACTGTACAGCACAGGGAACTCAGTACTCTGTAATGACCTAATGGGAAAAGAATCTAAAAAAGAGCAGATGTGTGTGTGTGTGTGTATGTGTGTGTGTGTGTGTGTGTGTGTGTGTATTATATATATAAATATAACTGATTCACTTTGCTGTACAGCAGAAACTAACACAACATTGTAAATCAACTCTACTCCAATGAAAATTTTTTAAAAAAACACCTCTTCTTTGGCCAGGAAATCACTGAGTGTAAATGGTTGAAGAGGAAAGCATATTCTAGTTTTGAGCTTAGTTGTCTATCATAGGCACATTTTAAAAATATGTTTTTACTGAGGCACAATTTACATATGGTAAAATTCACCCTTTTGGGAATATAGCTCTATGAGCTCTGACGAACACACGTAGTTACGTAACTGCTGCGACAGATGTAGAACATTTCTATCACCCCTAGAAATTCCCTCATGTCTCTTTATACTAGGTCCCTGCCCCACTTGCCTCTGGCAATTACCAATCTCTTTGCGGTCCCTGTTGTTTCTAGGCACAATTTTGAAACCTGTTTTATTTATAATCTCTACCTCCTCTTCTGTTGTTCCTCTACAACCCTGTAGTCTCTGGTTTTATTGCACCACACGCAAATCTGCCTACTTACTGTCTCAGCACACCACCCTCCCACAAGGTCGAATTCTGACCTTTGTCAATGAGACGGAGATTGAGAATGGTGAACGGGAAAGAGGGCAGGAACCTGTTTCAGTGATCGCCCTTCAGCTCCCTGCTTTGTATTTAGAGAATCTGTTTAGTTCTCCAGGTGAATTTCTGTTTGTTGGGATGCTGAGAGTTCTAACACAGGTGGAAATGAGAGTCGGTGCAGGGGATGAGTGTGCTTGACACTGACCTGTTCAATCAATGGGGATTTTGAAGGTCCAGAAGGAGCCAATCTGTTCATCTACCACCTGCCCCAGGAGTTTGGAGACCAGGACCTGCTGCAGATGTTTATGCCCTTTGGGAATGTCGTGTCTGCCAAGGTTTTCATAGACAAGCAGACAAACCTGAGCAAGTGTTTTGGTATGTTGGTGTTTTTTCTGGTGTCGGGAGAGTTAAGTATTTTTACCAGTTAGAAAGAAAGAGAAGGGGCTGATAGCAGAAAGAGCTGAGTTTGAGTTTATAGTTTAACTTAGCCTTTGGCAGGTTACATTACCTCGTTTTGAGCCTCAGTTTTTCCATTTCTGTAGTGGGAATGATGATTTGTACCCACACTGTCACTCCAGAGGTAAAAATAATGTATGGAAAATGGCTTGGCCAAAAAAACTTTAAGGTACTGTGTAGATGTCACCTGCTACTGTTAGGAACCTGATTTATTTCATGTGATATAATTTCAGGAATTCTTGTCCCTGCTGAGAAAAATTGGGATTTGAGACTAAGCTCATAAGGTATCTCTTGCATAAGGAAGATTGAGAATCTTCCTGCCTCGTTATGCCCCTCACCTAGGTTTCTGCTTGGACACACAGGTTTTGTAAGTTACGACAATCCTGTTTCGGCTCAAGCTGCCATCCAGTCCATGAACGGCTTTCAGATTGGCATGAAGCGGCTTAAAGTGCAGCTCAAACGTTCGAAGAATGACAGCAAGCCCTACTGAGCGTGCTCCCCTCTGAGACTGGAGTGAGAGGGTCTTCTGGTAAGTGGGGGAGGAGCACCCTTAATGATTCGAAGCCCTAAGGCTGTGTGTTGACAGCCCTGGACCCTGATCCCTGCCACTCTCGCAGGCACAGCTTGCCCTGAAGACTCGGCTACTGCCTTCTGTGGGAATTTCGCTTCGTACAGAGGACAAGTTTGTGCTTTGGTTTCCAGTGTTTTACTTTGGAGTTTAGGTGCCATATCCTGAGTTTTTTTTCTTTATTTAAAAGTTTGCTGTGTTTGTAACCAGTGTGTTGAGAAGGACCAACATCAAACTGCCCTGGGGGAGGAGGGGGAATGGAGAAACATTAAAAAAGAAGATCATAATTTGCCCCAAACTACCCAAAGAGAGAGGACTGAGTGAAACAAAAAATTGACCTCCAGAATCTTCCTGAGCACGAGAGTGGGTGAAATGAGAACTGACATCCAAGAGCTTTTGGGGGGTGGAGGAGGTGGGGTTGGCTTTGGAGAGTGAGAGTGACTTGACACCCAGCAGCTCCGGGAGCTGGAGGCTAAAACTCCTCCATAGCTGCCTTCTGTGGAAATACTGAGTTCTTGCCACCTATTTTTTAGATTCTTGTCTGGGATTTCTGCCCCTCTTTCCTAAGAAGGGGCTAACAATTCTCTGGAAATAAAGCACCTGTTAAATTAGCCTGACATGCAAAAAGCAGGGATATATCACCCATTACCAGCTTTCCCAGCCAACCATTGGTGTTGGATTGGCCCTGCCCTCCTGGCTGGTGGCTGTTAGGAAGCAGCAGCCGGTCAAAGAGATCGTTTTTAGTTTATTTCAACACCAAACTATTAGACCATGGCCCATTTCTACCAGGTCCATTTAAAGAAGGCCTCTGGGGAAGACACTGTCTGGTCTCTTCCTTATAGTTGACCACAGTGAGGAATGTCTCTTCCATCCCCAGCCACAGGTTTCTCACAAGGGTAGATCCAAGAAGGGCTTACAGCATCTAGTTGAAGGGAGCACCTCTCCTGAGCAGAGTGATCAAAAGCCATCAAGCTGGGGGAGGAGGAGCCTGCTTCTTGGTGTACCTGAATCATAAGGTCCCTTTAAGCCAGTGCTGCGTTTGCCAGTGGCCAGCACTCAGCACTTAAAAGGATTAAGAAATCCATGTTTGCCTCCTTGGTTGAGATGTCCCAGATGTAGTGTCAAAACGGAGGCAGGCCCCTCTTCTGCCCGCTCCAGCCCCATCTTCTGCTCTTGGCGACAGAGGAGACAACAGGACGTTTACAACCTCCATATGGATTTAGTGTTCATTTACCTCAGCATCACCGTGTTCGTTTTTGTCCTCGTGCTTACAGTTAGCTCCCTGCTGCCTCCCACAGGTCTCACTGCAGCCCTTGCCTGTGACCCACACAGCCTCTGTGCTCTGCCTCTGCTCCCAGAAATGCTGCAGAGGTGGAGAGCCAGAAAGGACACGCTGTTGGGAATGTGTACCTGGGTAGAGGTGGCCCTGTTAATATACGATCTTTAGCCAAGGCCAGGGGCTGGGTCCCTGGGATCTTAAACCTCACAAACATCAGTCCTGACCCCTAGCAGCAGAGGTGAGATTAAAGGGGTTGGTTTGCTATGAAGTCAGATGGGGGCTCTCTCCTTGTCATGCTGTCCATTTGGGCCACAGACAAGGATTGACTGTCTTGCTGTTGTGCAGGTAGTTGGTGGTGTTGGATTATCCCATTGAAGCTGGGACAGCTGTTCCCTTCTCATAGTGATAACTTGGGTCTGTTGTCCTCTAAGAAACATGAAACGTACTTCTTAAGCTGAACCACGTAAACTTGAATTCCACGCACTGGGAGAAATGTGTCCTGTGTTTCAAGGATAAAACTGTTCCAAAGGCTTCCAGGGTCATGATGGGATTTTTTAAATAAATGCAAAAAATAAAAATAAAAAAGAAAAAAGACAACAAAAAAAGAAAAAAATGCTAGGTTGGGGAGGCGCTGTTCTGAATCCCAACCAGCTGGAACCAAGAATGTCGTTTCTATTTTTATAGAAGTTTTATACAGCTCCGGGGTGGAGAATATTTATTACCTAAATTATATCTCTGGAAAAGGCCAGGATTTTGTAGAATCCAGAATGTGATTGTTGTACACACAGGGTGCTGTGTATGATTGAAACTACTGACTTTCTGTGGCTGTTTGCAGCCCAGCTAATCTGCCAGAGGGGGAAGGAGTTAATGCTGTGAATTGGCGGAGGAGAGAGCTGTGCTCCCCAGGGTGCTGCCGGTGCTGTGATCGCTAACCTGTTCTGTCTTCCTCCTTGTTCACTGTGGGGTTTTCCAAAGCCCAGGACTCCACTCTTCTTCCCACTTTCTTCCCTTTCTCTCCCTCGTCCCCCAGTTCACTATTATTTGTACACGGATTTGCCCTGGGCTCCGGGACCTTATGAAACCCCTTCCCTATTGACATGAAAGGTAAAGGTGTAATCAGCCCATTTTGATACCACACTCTGAGGTTTCATACCTGCTTGTGGGTTCTTGTTTCTAAAAGGAGTGTGCACCTCAGCAGGGCCCTGGGCTGCCACAGCGGCCAGCTGGTGAGCCCAGACACTTCCCTCTGTTCTCTTGTCCCCCGCCCAGCGAATTCCCACAGCAGTGCTGCCCTTGAGCACAGTTCTCTCCCTGGGCCAAAGATGGTTTTGTGAAGAAGCTGCTTCCCTACAAGTCTCATGGTGTGAAAGCGTCAGCTTGGAGAGTGGAGACTCGCAGTCAAGTCTTAAGCAGCCCTTTTCTGTTGTGTGGGGGTCTCGTGTATAAGTGTGTTTTCTGCTGTAGTTGTTTCTTACTTGGGTTTCATCATGAAAGTGATTTGCCTTGAATGCAGCCAGACACTGTCTCCTGGGTCCAACATGAGTGGCCAGGGCCTGCGTGGAAGCTAAGAGCTTGGATTTCCGGGAACAAAGGGCCATCCCCATAGAACTGAGGAGAAATCCTGGCCCTCTTCCCTAAAGAATTCTCCCCACCCCAGCCTGCAGCTTTGACTTTCTCCCTGAGTCTTGACCAGGAGTTGAGGGAGAGGCTGAGGCTCTGCTCCACCAGAGAGACCTTTTCGGATGTGTTTGGGTGCTTCTGGGGAAATCCAAGCCTTAGGTTCCCTCTGTCTCTGGCAGTTGGATGTTTTCTTGGTGTCCTCCATGTCCTTTTTTGACTTTTCCCTGTGTCCATTGTTAGCATGTGCAAAAGTTCCCTGTCATTACCCAGCCCCTACCCCGCCCGCCTCCTCATTTCAGGGCTGTACAACAGTGAGTGTTCCTGTTCTCTCTCTCTTTGTTTGGATGTATTGCTCTGTGTAACTCAGTGGGTCTCCCTCTTTCTGGTTTGTTTTTTTTTCTAGATTCCTGCCGTTTGTTCATCGTTGTGCCTAAAGCATGTCGATGTGGCGTCAAGTACATCGTCCAAATCCCTGTCTCTTCAGCTTCTCTGATGCTTGAACTCTCACCTTTGACCTTGTGTTGACCTTTGATGCTGACGTGTATTTTTATTATGTTTGTTTCTTTCTTTGTTTTTTCTTTTTTCTTTCCTTTTTTTTTCTTTTGTGCTGCCAAATTGGTTTTGCTAGAACGACTGCTGAAGGGGAAATATTTAAACTTGCATTTGAATATAAAAAAAATCTATTTTTCTAGAACTTCATAAGATAACCACTTGATTTTGTGATTCCAATTCTTTGTAATTGTCTTCAGAGCAGCCCTACTAGCACATACCGCGTGGTGTTTGTATTTCTGTGAACACACAGCCAGTCTGTTTCTAGGCTTTGTTTCTCTGTGTGCTTAGTTTTAAAGACAACTTTGAAGTAAACAATGAAATAAAAGATGTCACTAAAACCTTTGAGGCTCCTGAGCACATTTTGCTGATACAGTCTGTGGGGCTTGAGGAGACCGCATGTGTTCCTGTTTTTGTTTTTCTGAGCTCTCAACTGCAGAAAACACCTGAACCCTTTTTCCTTTTTGACCACTGGCTGCAGTTTGGACCCCAGCCAGCCCTTTTTCTTTTGTGGTTCTTCCCTGGAGCAACCCTGCCCGGAGTCTGCAGATCCCTCTGGCCCCTTCCCCTCAGCCCTGCTGTGCCCACCTCCATGCTTCTTCCTACAGTCTCCATAGCAAAATGTGATGCTTTGATTTTTTTGTTTTTGTATTGTTTTTGTGTTTTTGTTTTGAATTTTTTCTTTCCTACTAAGATTATGCCCAGAAAAAACAAGTTTTGCATGTTTCCTGCTGTTTCTTCACACCTTCGTATATATCACCTTCACCTCTCTGTTTTCTATAGTTTGTGCAGAAACTGACTGATTTAAAAGGGTTTCAAAGAAGCTGTTTTAAATTGATGTGGGGTTAATTTTTTTTTCCCAAGATTGTATTATTTTTATTTTGAAGTGGCAACTTTCTCCTCTATTGACCTTAGAGCGTTTGCCTGTGCACTTAGACTGTCACCTCATATGGCCTCCGGGTCTCGGCGGGGCCTTCAGGAGGCCGCTTGCTCTGCTCAGAGGCGGGTGGGAAGGGGGTCCAGAGAGGCACAGGGGCAGAGGTAGAACTCAGAAAGTGGCTGTGGGTGGGCGAGAGGCTAGTGAGCACCCTCAGCGCCGAAGGAGTGCGCTCTTAGCCACTCGCAGGAGGCCGTCTGCGCCGGAAGTGGCAGTACATCTGCAGCACTTCTCCTAGGTGACAAGCACAATACTACAGTCTTCACACTGTTTACAGCCCTGGGCACCAGCCACCCCACACTGGCTCCTCACTGCAGCTCGGCTCTTGCTCAGCTAGTGGGGTGGGGGTTAGGGCGGGTTTGGTTTTGTTTTTGTTTTTGTTTTGTTTTGTTTTAATTGGGTGAAGAGCCAAATAGCTACTGTCCCTGGGTGCCAGGCAAGCCAGTTCCTTGGTTCCCTGAGGGGAACTTGCCCTCTTCTCTTGTGGCACCATCCAGCCTCAGGGTCTTAGGGACTTGAGTAAGAATGTGAAGGGCAGAGGGAGAGGTCAGAGGAGATGAGAGGTCACACGATGAATCTGTGGAGGTAAGAGGTTGCAGAGGGAGGAGTTTGGGATAGATCCCACCCAGGCCTAAGCTGCTGGTGGGTGAGAGAGCTGCGAAGTAGGATTTCCAGGGAAGGATGGAGAGGGGTAGCCAAGGGACTGGGGGGAGGGGGGTGGGAAGGTAGAAGCACTGTTAGCATCATCCATGCTGGAGTTGATAAAGGAAGGGATCTCGGCAGAGTTTCTGCTCTGGGACCTGGCAGGTTGCCTAGTATTAATTATGCTTGAAGCCACTCTTACTAGAAGGAAAGGGCGGCCAGGTGGAGACCCAGTGTATGGTAGGCTGCTTAATTTCTTCGAAGGGGTGATTGGATGGAAAGAGGCCAGGAACCCCAGCCTGAGCAAGACTGCCATGCACCCCACAGTCTGACTGCACAGAGCTGCCTCTGTTGGCAGAAGGCGCTGAGGCTCCCCTTCCTGTGTATTCAGAACCCATGTTTGCCAATATATTTTGCTTTCAATTCCAAGAGGAGCTCTGGGAAAACCTGTGGATAAAACCAAATGCCAAACGTTGGACGTTGTTTCCTTTTCCTTTTCTCTCTCTGATTGTTTTAATTGTTCTGTGGTGGTTTTAATGGATTTGAGACCCTGGAGCGGCAGCTGCCTTTCTGATTTCCAGCTGCTTTTTGTGAATAATTTAAAAAGAAAAAAAAAAAAAGAAACTTTACATTTTGGAGACAAACCTGTGTGAGTTTTTTATTGGTACAAACGTTGTATTTAACACTAGGGGTTTTGTACAGTTTTTTGCCTTTTCTACTAGAAAACAATGTAAAGTGATTTCACAATGTGAAGAGAAAAAAATTGCCACTATGACCAAACGCACAGTCTGTTCTGCAGCAACAATGGGATTCAATCAACTCAAAGTCGTGATTCAGCCGTAGAAATGCTTTTTCTTTACCTTGTTTGAGCTTTTCCTTTCTTTCCTGTTTTGATTTGCAAAAGAAAATGTCTTTTTTGTGTGAACTTGTGTTGTACTATGTAGAAAATTATGAATTTTACTTTAATGGTTTAAAAAAAAAAGGCAAGAAGAGCCCTTGTCGCTTTTCTGACCTGATCACAGAGTTTGTGTAGTGGATTAAAAAAAAAAAAATTGTTACAGTTTCGAGCAAGGGAGTATGTGTCTAAAAGGAATCTCCTTCCTTTTCTGTGTGTTTTTCCTTTTGTCCCAATGGGGAACCTAAATCTGTTTTAATTGCACAGACACACGGACAAAAAGTCATTTTGTATCTGCCAAGTGTGGTACCTTCCTTTGTTTATTTGCTATTAAACTGTTTGAGAAGAACTGACGTTGTCTTCAGAGTTACTGATTGTTGGGGTAGGTGGCAGCCGGGGGCTGGAGGGGTCGGTGGCACTCCTGAAGAAGGGGTGGGTGCCCCGGAATTTCCTGTTAACATGCAGTGGGGCCACCCCAGGCTCCCGGAAGAGCAGAATTTCTTCCAGAAAACTGCCTTCTCTATCATCCTGCATTCTTCTCAGCATCCCCGCTAATAGGGAGGCGCTTTAAAGTTTTTTGGCAGCCTTCATTTTTGTGCTTCTGTTGCCAGTAGTGACTGCCACCTTGCAGAGCTAGCCTAGACCTGTGAGTTCACGTCCCTTCCTGCTGTGGAGTTCCTGCACCTGGGGAGGCAGCCAGCGAGCACTGAGGCCCAGAGCGTGGGGCTCTTCCTCTCTAGGTCTTCAGCGCTCCAGACCAAAGTGCTGCAGCTCCTTTCCCCTCATTTGGACCTCAGAACAGGGTCACAGAAGGGCATTTCTAAGATTTCTTGGGTTTACAACTCAGTAATTCTAGGTCACTCTCTGAGTGAGGCCCATACTTGGGCCTCCTCAAACCTCTGTGAACTGCAGATTCAATCAGCCCCTGAGCCAGGAGTCCCAGGCCCTCTGGCTGAATTATAAGTTTGTCTGCTCCTTACCTGCCACTGCCATCCTCATCCTCTGGGAGGCCAGTCTTTGTGAAGCTGGTGCCTGTCTAGGGGCATGCAACCAGCAATGGCCTGTGGGTGGGCCAGGCCTCAACCTTCTCATCAGAGTCGCTCTGTGTGGGGTGTGTCTGGAGTAGCATTTCTCAGTGGCGGTTGTACTGGGTACTAGCCCGTGAAATGTTTATGCAGTAATTGTCCTAGCTAATGTTCATTGACTGTTCACCACCATCCTAGTGCTGTGGGAAACACTCAATACACATTATATGCTCTAGTCTTTATAACGCCCCTGGGAGGGAGCTACGGTTTTCATCCCCATTTAGCAGATGAGCAAACTGAGGTTAAAAGAAATTGGGTTGTGGAATCCCGTGGTGGTCCAGTGGTTAAGACTCCGTGCTTCCACTGCAGGGGGCACGGTTTGATCCCTCTGGTCGGGGAACTGAGATAATAACCTGCATGCCCCATGGCATGGCCAAATAAATAAATAAAAATAATAAAAATACTTTATTTGAAAAAAAAATCGGGTTTAAAAAACAATCCCATCCTCCCCCCCAAAAAAATAACTAAAGTTACTACTTTTTTATGCCATAAGTTTATTTACAAACGTGTCTAGTATGTTGAGTTCAACAGTTTGATCCTTTTTTCAAAGAGAGTGCACCTCTTAAAATGCTCCTCTTCGTATCTGTCTCATGGATTCCCCGCCCCCCATCCCCACCGCCACACCCAAGGGCTTGTGGGATCTTAGTCCCCGCACCAGGGATTGAGCCCCAGGCCCTCGGCAGTGAAAGCGCGGAGTCCTAACCACTGGACTGCCAGGGAATTCCCTCATGGATTATTTTTTAAGCAGTTGGTGTCTTACTATAAAGAAAGGTGCAGTAAATTGAGATCCAAAGTACAAAGTCATCATAGCCAGTAACCGCCACTTGTCTTCCACTGAAAATGGCAAATTCTTCCCTGGACTCTCCTCTTAGTGGCTCCTGCGGACCACAGAGGTTGTGAACCTCCAGATGCTCTATCCCAGGTGCAGAGACTGAAGGCAGAAGAAATGGCGGCAGCACACCAAGACCTCCTTCCCTCACGACCTTGTTCCCCTGTGTCCAGAGTTACTATTAGATTTCATTAAGTCTTTTTCCTACACACATTTTTAAAATAGGACTGGGATCAAACTAAAAAGAAGAAATTGGGTTGCTCCTGGAAAGTGGTGTGCACTGAGAGTCAAACCAGGTCCGCCTGACTTCCAAGCCCTTTCTCTTAACTGCTCCCAAGGAGAAGTAACTCTGTAAAAGCAAATCAGTGTGCTTTAGTTAACCTACACAGTCTCATCACACACGGTTTGCATGCTGTCCTCTAGGCTCTAGGGAAGGGATCCTACAACTCTGTGGCTCCCTCGGTGGTGCATCGTTTCAGCTTTGTCCTCAGAGTGACTGTCTCGGTGCTAAAGGGGTAACTCAGTGCTCCAAGTTGTTATCGTGCTCCTGCAAGGTGCCACTTCCCATGAGGACTGGAGTGCTTCTTAAACATCACTCCTGCCACACAGTTCTTTCCTAGATCTGTTGCCACTGAAGCTGTTCTTTACCTTGTGTTTATTTTAATTTTTTTTTTTTTTGCATTGTGGTAAAAATACATATAGCAATTTTCTATTTTAACCTTTTATTTTTTGCGGTACGCGGGCCTCTCACTGTTGTGGCCTCTCCCGTTGCAGAGCACAGGCTCCGGACGCGCAGGCTCAGCGGCTATGGCTCACGGGCCCAGCCTCTCCGCGGCATGTGGGATCTTCCCGGACCGGGGCACAAACCCGTGTCCCCTGCATCGGCAGGCGGACTCTGAACCACTGCACCACCAGGGAAGCCCTCTATTTTAACCATTTTTAAGTAAACAGTTCAGTGACATTTAGTACATTCAGTGTTATACAACCATCACCACCTAATGTTTTAAATCAACTTGAAATCCACCTTTTATAATTTTACCTCATTCTGACCATTAGTATTTGTGAAGTTACAAGTTTGGTGTCCTAATTGTAAAATACACATTATTTTAAAATACACATTGGGGCTTCCCTGGTGGCACAGTGGTTAAGAATCTGCCTGCCAATGCAGGGGACATGGGTTTGAGCCCTGGTCTGGGAAGATCCCACATGCCGTGGAGCAACTGGGCCCATGTGCCACAACTGCTGAGCCCGCGTACCACAACTAGTGAAGCCCACACGCCTAGAGCCCGTGCTCTGCAACAAGAGAAGCCACCGCAATGCGAAGCCCACACACCACAATGAAGAGTAGACCCTGCTCACTGCAGCTAGAGAAATCCCGTGCACAGCAACGAAGACCCAACGCAGCCAAAGATAAATAAATAAACATTTTAAAAATGTAAAATAAAATACACATTAAGGGACTTCCCTGACGCTCCAGTGGTTAAGACTCCACACTTCCACTGCAGGGGGCACGGGTTCGATCCCTGGTTGGGGAACTAAGATCCCGCATGGCGAGCGGTGCAGCCAAAATAAAATAAAATACACATTAAGCTGCATAACCAGTATGTATAAAATGTCCATGGGGTGGCTTCTCAAAGAGATCTGTTTCACACTTTGGGGAATTGGGTCAGGGTGGAGAGTCAGGGGCTTCCCCATGGACTCCCTTTCTGTACCTGTTTCCTCTATGAGTAGAGGGTGGTTGAACCAGAGATTGTCTCCCACTTAGCACAGATGTTCTGTAACTCACGATTGAGGTGGTAGATCTTCGTCTTAGGACTCCTGTATTCTTGAGATAGAACTTGATATAAAAATAGAATGAGGACTTCCCTGGGGTCCAGCAGTTAAGACTGCGCTTCCAGTGCCGGGGACGCAGGCTCGATCCCTGGTCAGGGAGCTAAAATCCCACATGCTGTGTGGTGCGGCCAGAAAAAAAAGGATGTTAAGTATAATTTGAATATCTTCCAGTTTAACATCATACTTAAAGGCTGTTGTTTCTCTTTAAAATTTACCAAAAAAGGGACTATGCCAAAGGTACTATTTTTAACCTCAAAAAAAATTTAGACTTGTGCATCTTTATAATCATATATCTGTGTCTTAATTAAACTATTTCTTCTAAAAACCCACATGCAGTCACCTTTTATTTTTGAATAGATTCCTTAGGCACCTAATTGCCACATTCCTGGTTCCCGGCTTACTGGCTTTCTTGGTCAGTACACGGCCTCCCTAACTCTCCCAGGTAGTTTACATTCTGTGCTCACCTGAGCATCTCAGTCCCTGATGAAGAAAAGCCATCAGGAAGGAAATGAAAGAGCAAGTTTGTTCCTTCACCTCTGGGAATGTCAAACTAATGTCTGATAACATTGTCCTTCCAGGAGGGATCATAGATGGCTTTTTTTTGCACCTTCTGCCTTTTTCAAGCTCTTTCCTTCTCTCTGGGGAGTCCTTTCTAACCCTCCCCCCGCCCCCACCACCATCTGGTATTTAATTTCTTCTGCATACATTGGCTTTCTCTTTACTGGTAAAGGCTCCAGCTGTTGAGAGGACTGTTGTTCTTTTCAATCAAAGTCAGATCTTGGGATGGGGAAATGAACACATACCCTGGAACGGCTGTCCCAACACTCCTGCAGCCAAGTCTATAGGACATTGGCCCTGCTTCCCTCCCCACACCCCCATCCCCCCATGCAGGGTCCCAGTGACCTGAGGCCTCCTGAAGTTTTGGGTGTTTTTATACTGTCTGATTGAGGTATAATTCACACACTATATAATTTGCCTACTTAAAGCATCCAGGTCTGGTGTGGGTTTTTTTGTTTTTTTGTGTTTTTTTTTTTTTTGCGGTACGTGGGCCTCTCACCTGCTGTGGCCTCTCCTGTTGCGGAGCACAGGCTCCGGACGCGCAGGCTCAGCGGCGATGGCTCATGGGCCCAGCCGCTCCGCAGCATGTGGGATCCTCCTGGACCGGGGCACAAACCCGTGTCCCTTGCATCGGCAGGCGGACTCTCAACCACTGCGCCAGGAAGCCCAGAGAGTTGGATTTTAACCCAGGTCACCCTGACTCCTGCAGAGCATATTCCTCTGGGAGTGAATGGTGGACCTTGGGGGCCCTGGTTTAAATTCCACCTTTAGAGTGGAGCTTCGTGAAGGCGGGGACCATGTAAGTATTGTTCTTCACAGGAGCCTTAGGGGCTGGTAGATAATAAGCATCGAGGAGACATTTAATGAGTGAGTAAATGAACAAGTAAATATCAAAAGATGACAGTTGCTTTTGTCCAAGAGCTTCTGGACATGCTTTTTTCCCCAACTACATTACATTCGAGTTTTATTTAGAAATGTCCATCCACTCCAGAAAGAAAGGGAATAACTTATTTTCACGCCTGTTTATAGATTACTAGCTACCAG